GTTTCAATGAGATGACGGTGTTTCCGTTCAGCGACCCCATTTTGCTCAGGAGTGTAGGGACAAGAGGTGTGATGAAGGACTCCTAAAGTTTGAAGGAAAAGGCCAAAAGCGTTATTTACAAATTCTTTGCCATTATCACTTCGAAAAATTTTGATGTGAGAATTAAACTGAGTTTTAATCATTTTTTCAAAATTCACAAAAACAGAGTAAGCTTCAGATTTATGTTTTAGGGGATAAATCCAGGTAAATTTGCTGAAATCATCAACAAAAGAGATATAAAATCGAAAACCGCTACAGGAAGGAACAGAGGTGGGACCCCAAACATCAGAATGTATTAATTGAAAGGGAGCTGTGGCCTTATGTTCAGACAATTCAAAAGGTAAACGACAGGACTTAGAGACATAACATGATTCACAATGTAAAGGCTCTGAAAACTGAAAACCTAAGGAAGACAAAATATATTTGGCAATCGCAGGAGCTGGATGACCGAGTCTACGATGCCAAGTGGACTCTTGGATAGCTTGATACGCAACGGTTGGGAGTTTGGAAGGAAGTGTGTATAACCCATGCTCACAGAGGCCCTTGTACCGCACCTGGTTGGTAGGATTGTCCACTATCTTGAAATCGTTGGCATTGAAAACAAGAGTGCAGTTGTTATCTTTGGTAAATCGATGGACAGACAATAGATTGGAGGTAAGGGAAGGGACATAATGAAGAGTAGAAAGGTGGTATTTACCATTAGGAATATGGACAAAACCTGAGCCAGAGTGTGTGATGGGTAGGGATTGACCATTGCCTACGGTAATAGCATCAGTACCGGTGTATTGATGAGGAGATTGTAGCTGAGAATAATCAAACGTGACATGGGTGTTGGCACCAGTGTCCAGATACCAGTTTCCAGAATGATTACTCGTAGATGCATGCATTGCACGGGGAGCACTAGAGGAGGAGTTCGCAGTATAAGAATAATCAAATCGATACCAGCACGCAGACGCAGAGTGACCTCGTTTCTCGCAGATTTGGCAGGTTGGCAGATCCCGTGACGGTCGACCGTTTCCCTGGGACGGTCGACCGTTGTTCCTTTCTCCACGTCCG